GCGTTCGGACAGTGGAAAGGCTTAATGGGCTCGCTTTTATTATCCTTTGCTACTTTTGCTGCGATTTTAGTTACGTGCGAGTGTAAGTGTTTAGTACGTGCGGAGATCAACAAGCCTCTTTTATGACGTTGAAGTTGGACAAGATTTTGTTGTCCGAGTTGCCCTTGTGACGTAATTTCAACATGTTGACTTGGTTTGTTTGTAGTTTGTTTACCGTTCAAAAAAAGAATATCGCTGTGAATGTCCTAAAATATTTTATAAAACTTTTAATGTGGTTTGACTAGTTTGTGTTTCTTGCTTGTCTCTCGGAAAAATCTCCATTTCTCCATTTTCTCCATTTGGAAAACTCCAAATCTGCTACAATATAAAGCAACAACACACAGCAACATGTTCATGGAGGCAGCCATGTTTGTTCTGAGATGTAGGTATCTCGAACGGGAGATTGTCGGACGTGATGTCACTCAACTCGGAATTTCCGAGTTCCGAGAGAAAAACGAACGCACCATTAGTTACACGCATGACGTTTGTATCCCAGGCAGTTCCGATGCGTAATCTGCTATTTCTCCCGAATATCACGTAAAGCAATGAGAACTGGTTTTCAATTTATTTACCTGGTAAAATAAAGTTTATATAAATGGCATAAATGCTCTAATAGTACACGTAAGTTAGTGGTTTATTTATTGGTAGTTACTGTATTGTTGCGCTGCTTTATTTGGTTAATCGTCCAGTCTGTGAAGAAGGCATTCAAGTAAGAATTGCACTGTAGTCTGTACATGACAATAAAAACTTTGAATTCGGTCCATGTTTATTTTTATTATTACTCTGTATTCGTTAATTTGTTCGTGAATAGCAAACTTTTAGGTTGTAACATTTGTACAACTATCACATAACTTTTTGGTGAGCAGTGGCTAACAAAATAATATAAAGTACAGTGTAATCCTGTACCTGAGACAGTATTTTCAATAAAATAGTATTATTACCAACAAGCGCTGCTACTATAGCAAATGCGAGGCTGATACTGAAGCGTTACCTTTTGTTTCCGCTCATAGACGGCACGTACAATTTATATTAGGTCAGCGTGCACGGTTCGGTTTCTGATATTTAGATCCAGTTCTAGGTCAAAGTGGTTTGTTCGAATTTAAAAAAGTTCGAGTTCTAGTGAGTTCGAGAACCGAGGTACTATAGTGTGTGTTCGTGTGTGTGTCCGTGTGTGTCCGTGTGTGTGTGTATATATATATATATATATATATATATATATATATTCTGTGTATAAAATTCTGTTATAATGGACTCGCATATAATGGAATTTCACTTAAAATGGGCCGCTTTTAGCTGTAGTTTTGTTCGGCTATAACGGACATACAGGCTCCGCCTACAAGGCGTGTGGCGCTGATATCCAGCGCAGATACGTAGTCAGGATTATTAATAGTCACGCATCTGGTCAGGTGAAGTTGGATTACAACATGTACAATATAACAATCTATACCACAAGTGTGTCTGCTGGGGTGTGGCATGAGTAAATAGTGTCCTGTAGTTGTATTCTGGACATACAGCAACTCTGGATATAACGGACTGTTTTGCCAGGTCCATTGAAGTCCATTAAAACTAGATTTTACTGTATTAAATAAACATTAATCTGACACAGGAAATGAAACACTGCATTCAGTAAGTACAATGAACACTACTTCCGCCTTTAATTTGTCGGTCACTTTTTGCCAGCCGTCTTTTCTAGTTTGGGCTGCTTTTGCCGTGTTACTCCTTGTGCATATTAGTTCTTGAAATTATTCATATTCTTATTTTCTGCTCTGTGTTTTGTTGTAAATAAACCCCTGTCATCTTGGAGCCGCACTGTGGATTGTCATCCTTTCCTCGCCTGCACCATCCCCCGATCCCATAACAACTACCTAATTAGTAACAGGCACTGTTCCATTAAACATGCTCAAACTGAAGCCTCGGTCTGAACAGAGCTAATGAGCCCATGAGAATCTATTTATTATCAAAGCAGAAACATCCATCCCAGAAGAAGACAATCTATTGTCCTGTCATGGGGGGCAGTGTGTGACTCAGTGGGCTAAGCCTGTGTGCCTGTAATCACAAGGTTGCCGGCTCAAACCCAGCCTCAGCCTGTTTGTGGGTCATTGAGCAAGTCCCTTTGTTGTCCCCATGTGGGACAATAAAGGTTTATTATTATTATTATTAATCAATATAGAGCAGTAGCTTTTTCCAGTTGCATGCTGAGGATTGACATTTAAAATGCACTTTTCAATCTACCTTCTAATTCCAGCTTGGAAGAAGTCAGTCTTTACAGTAATCCTCATCCTTTTACCTCAGATGTGATTTATACTGCACAGAAGACAGACAAAACTTCTGTTTACATTTTCAAAGACAATGGGATTTGCAAAAGTAAAAATATTGAAAGTTGAAGTTTTTTTTCTTGTAGCTCGTGTTTGCCTGTATATCTTTTGACTGAGAGTCTGAGTGTTTTAAACAATGTTTAAATGTATATTTACCTTTGACCTGTAGGAAAAGGTCCCTCTCTGAAGCTCATTGGTGGGTCCATTGACCTGTCACTCTTCATGGAAACACAGCTGGGTACAGGTGAGCCTGCTCTCTCCATCAGGACACTGTGGACAGTGAGAGGAAAGATCCTCATTATATAAATATAATCCATATAACGTGGACAGAGTCACATTAAATCTTCAGCTGTTTAACCTTTTGCTCTTCATGTACTTTGATATGCTGTGAAGCTCTTGATGCAAACATGCTTGTCTACATTTAGCTTTAAT